GGTTCCACGAAAGGCTATATTCATTAGCCTTCAAAGGGCAACAAATCTCAGGAATATTATAAGGACCTGTGATCAAAAAAAACCCACAAGCATTTTCACACCACATTTTAATTGCTGCAGACACCCTGAAATATCACTTGCAATTGGCAGTTATTAGACCTGCCAATAGATCTTATTATATTTCAAAATCAAGAAACTCTTATCACCATAGCACAAATGTATTTTATTTAATGTGTCAATAACCCTACGTCAACATAATTGGTTGCCTTTATAACCCTAGGCATTTTATTTTATGTATTTAAAAATATTATGTTGCCACTGTGGTAACCCAGCAATTGTACTACTGAGTCCACACCCAAAAGAACTAAAAACAGGTACCCAACAAATCCTGGCACAGGAATGTTCATAGCAGCACTATTCACAATAGCCAAAAGGTGGGAACAAACCTAAATGTTCATTACTAGATGAATGAATAAATACATGTGATATAGCCATACAATGACATATTATTTAGGATAAAAAGGAATGAAGTACTGATATATGCTACAATGTGGATGAACCTCAAAAACACGATGCTAAGTAAAAGAAGCCAGACACAAAAAGCCACATATTGTATGATTCCACGTATATGAAATATCTGGAACAGGCAAATCCACAGAAAGAGAGAGCAGATTGGTGGTTACCAGAGGCTTGGGGGATGGGAATTAAGAGAACTGCTTACTGGGCACAGAGTTTTATTCTGAAATGATGGAAATGTTTTGGAACTACATAGATGTGGCGGTTGTACAACTTTATGAATGTACTAAATGCCACTGAGCTGTTCACTTTAAAATAGTTGATTTTATGTCATGTGAATTCCATTTCAAGAAATAAAACGATGTTAAGGATTGGTTCCTGGTCTTCCTGAGACTGCCAAAGAAGTCTGTGGCACAGGGTAAACTCCCCCATGTAAAGCCACCCACAATGACAGGAGCTCCTCTTCCTTTGGCCCAGTTGAAGGAGCTGGACTTATTGAACAGGTATCCAAACTTTTCTAGCATCCCAGAGCACCCCCTGGGACTTGAGGTCAAAGTTAGGAGGGAGCAAGAATGTAGCCAATGAGCACTAAACTTGCTGTTAAAACGATTCATATTTTTTCTATGTATTTCTTATATACACTTAGTGATATATTCCAGAAAACAGAGAATGACTAGAAATTTCCCAGGTAAAGATGGTATTTAGCTATCACAACAAACTAACATTTGAAATGACAGAAGTGGGAGACACTACTTTTTTGGTGGTAAGGTTTTCCCATGCTGTCTGTTCTCCCATGTACCATGGGATCCATTTGAGGAATGCCTCCATGGTAGGTATAAGGCTTCTAGCACTTTATAGCACTTCTTTTAGGTTATTTTTTCATTCAACAAATATACATTATCATATGCAGTAGTAACATATACCATGAAGAAAAAAAGTTGGTCAGGAATGAGAATGACAGGAAGTTACTAGAGAGATGAAGAAAGAGACTCCCAAGAGGTGGCATTTGAGGAGAAACTTGAATGAAGTACATAAATGAGTATCAGGACGGTGAGGTCAACAGTATTCCAGGCTATGGAGACAGCTCGTGCAAATGTCCTGAGGTCATGAATGTTCATGGAACAACACGGAAGGCCCATGTGGCTGTTGTGGAGTCAATGAAGACACAACGGTATAAAAATAAGGCAAGGCATGTAGCCAGTGACCAGACCATGGGTGGCCTTACAGACCACGGTAAAGAGTCTGGATTTCACTTTAAGTATGATAGGGAAGCCATGAGACAGCTTTGAGCAGAAGGTGACAGGATGTAATTTACATTTGAAATGTGTTCCTCCATATGGCGGAAACACTGCCAGAGGGCAAGATTGAAAGCAGGAATATCAGTTCAGAGGCTATTTAGCCAGTAGAGGCGAAACTAGGGTGCTGGTAGTGGAGACCCTGAGAAGTGGTCTAATTCTAGACATACTTTGAGAGTAGAGACGACTCACAGATGGGTTGGCTATGGCACAAGAGAAGGTATTTCAGCCCGAGCAGGCAGAGGGTCCAGCAGTGCCACTTACTGAGCTGGGAGACAGCTGGGGAGGAACAGATCTAAAAGTTGCCTTAGTCTGTTCAGGCTGCTATTGCAAAACGCCACAAACCGGGTAGCTCAGAGACAACAGAAGTTTATTTCTCCCAGTTCTGGAGGCTGGAAGTCCAAGCTCAGGGGTATCAGCATGGTCGCGTGACAGCTTGCTTCTGGGTTGCAACCTCACACGGTGGAAGGGACTGGGGAATTCTATGGGATCTCTCTTATAAGCACATAAATCCCATTCATGAGGGCTCCACCCGCATGACCTAATCCCCCTTCTCCAAAGCGCCACCTAACACTATCGCCTTTTGGGGTTAGAATTTCAATAAATTCTTTTTGGGGGTAGGGGGCACGCAAACATTCAGACCACAGCAAATGAGTTGGTCAGAAAATCAAACCTTCTGTTTTGGATACTGTGACAGATTGACTGCAAAAAATGGCCCAAATACTTCATCTTTCACTGTATCCATGCTTTTTCCCAAGTAAATTTTTAGGTCACCCTCCGACTCTAGTTGTGTCTACGTGACTTGATTTGGCCAATGGGACATTAGCAGCTTTCCTATATTTTCAAGCGCTTGTGCATTTCTGATTTTCCTTGCACGTCTGCCATCGTTAGGAAAACACATTGAGGCTAGCTGGTGCAGAATGAGAGATACGAGCAAAGAAATAGCATCGCTGTGGTCGCCCCAGCCAAAGGCATCCTAGATAAGTCAACAGACACCTGACAAATTGGTGCAAGCCCAAACAAATCAGCAGAGCCGACTAGTTGACCTGCAGGTGACTGAAGATGCCTGAGCAAGCCCAGCTCAGATCAGCTGACCCCAGCAGAGCGGTGAACTTACTAAATGTATAAATAATTGTTTGGCTGGTTGTTAGGCAGCATTTTCATGACAACAGATGTCTGATACAGGATGTTCCTTCTTTACCCATTATGAGGAATGCAGTGGCACCTCATGCCAGCCAATCCTAATGGCTGTGGGTGACACAATACTGTTCTTACATTCTAGGCTGCTTGTGTGTTACAAATAGAATGTAGTAGCAAATTAGTAACAAACTGAATAATAAAGAAATGAATGAACCACAGAACCCAGGATCCTTCACTTACACAGCCTGGTTGACTGAAAAAATTGTTTTAAATTTATAGTTTAAGAAAGTTTATTAAAGTTTTTGGTACTGGAGTATAATTTTTTAAGGATTATTGTCAAATTTGAGAAACTTCTCTCAAGTGTAAGATTTCAGGGCATTTCAGGATTTCTTTGAATTGCCAACGCTCACCTACTAATTTGTCATCAATGTCCTCATTGACTTTGCTTCTGATATCTTCCCTGCACAATATGGAACAGAGATAAATGTATCATGACGCCAACGAAGCCGAAGGCTCAAAGCCACTCATCTGTTCATGGACATCACGGCCTTGGGAAAGACCCTCATGATATGTTCACATGGGCATATATTTTTGGAAAATATGCAAAAATAATATATTTTAACAGCAACTGGTTAAGACAGCTGTCTCTTTGCATTCTGGCTTCCTACATCACACTTCTCCATGTGTTGTATGGAGATTGGACGGCTATAGTTACTTTGGGGCTCTAGCTAAGGGAGAACTTGAGTTGGGGATGCATTTGGTTTGTAATGAGTGGGACATAGTTATGTTTTTTGCAGTCAATTTCCATTAAAGTTAAGTCTTTGCAAGTCACTCCAATGTAACAATGGCTTCCAGGTATTCTCTGACATCTCTGTCTGACATGTACTGAGTAACCGAGCATGAGTGCACAAAGATGCAGGACCTGAGGGCATACTGCCATAACATAAGTGTGCCCTGCAGCTCCGGGTGTATGTGCATGAAGGAAGTCTGCCTTTTATAAAGCTTCCTAAGCCTTGCAACATGGGTACGTCAACACATTAATAAGCATGCTAAAATGTATTCTCAAAAATTCACAAAAGTTTTGTTTAGAAAATCAGTAAGGTTTGAGCATATCATGTAACTGCAATATGGAAAGTTGTTTTGAAGGGATCATCAAAACAAATGAGAAATTCAACCTCCCCAGACTGATCGTCTAAGAAGGGTACCTTTTTCTGCCATCTTTATATTTATTTATTAAAGAATAGAGAATTAAAAACTAAGAAAAAATTAATGGAATATGAAACAGAAACAACTAAAATGATTAAATCAATGGAAGTTATTCTGACATCATCAAAGAAGCCTCTTGTACCAAAATAATTTTCAGACCACACCAAAGCATTCTTAAGAGGGAAATTGTGAATAGAATTGTGAACAGAAGTAAGGGATTGGTTCCTTTTTGAAAATTCAATTAACAAAGAGGAGTGAATCATATGACGACAGGGAAACATTCAAATTCTTTCTGATTTGACACAAATGAAGACTGTGAAGATAACACAAACCTCATCATAGATACAACAACGAAGATACTGACAAGTGCTGATGTGGTTTATCAACTTAAGGAGTACTAAGATTAGTCATTGTACAAGCAAACTTCAAACGCACTGAAATCTTAGGACTCACACATTCAAGAAATGTGATAGAGGTTTCCCAAAATTTGATAATTCTAAAAAAGTTTACAGCCATTACTGATAACAAGATGTGATGCCCAAATAAACTTTCTAAATGTCAGTAATAAAAAATTTTGAATAGACATCTTAAAGGAAAGCCTGTATTATGTTTCCGTTCTCTCTATAGAAGGATCTTTCAAAATAATTTTCATATTTAAAGGTAAAGAGATAACCAAAGCATTTTCATTCAAAATGTATAGGGGTCAGGGTATTATAGAGATGAGGTGGGCAGCTTATTAAAAAAATATATCGTGTTTCTAATTTGGTGATGTTTGTGTTGTTAGGTTTTTAACTTTGCAATATGCTACGAATTATTACCTCACTCTAATATTAACATTCTTACCTAATTTTGTATCCACAGGCACAGCTTCTAAACTCATGGATCTTTAGGTTTATGGATCTTGTCTGCTGGGCCATTGGTTACTTCTCCCAATATGACTGCTCAGGAGTTTAAATTTAAAGAGTCAGCTAAAATGTATATCCAAAGCATGACCACACTTCAGTCAACTTAGAAATGTCACAGTCAAAAAGCAGCAGCCATGGCAACACCGTCTCTCTTTGTGATGGCTACAGACAGCAATTTCACTTCTGGAACTCATCTTCAACTGGGTGGCATGTTTCAAGAAACTGAAATCCTGATAAGGGTAAGTGATTCTACGTGAAACTGATGTTAATCAAATGCATGACAAAATGGAGCATAGGAATTTTTCTAAGCAAAGAAAAATACAATAGAACTTAGATCACATATACGCGGAAAGGCAAAAAGCACAAGGATTTTTGTCAAGTACTTAAAGTGTTAGTGCCAAAAGCAGAATGATCAGCTACATGTGCTAGAAACTAAAGAGATATGCCCTGGGACATGTTTAACTCAATAGAATAGTGAGTCTAAGTTATAAGTTTGGAATGACTGGCCCATAGACGTATCCATTTAGAGTCTTCTTGATTTTTCTTTTAAATCTAGTGTAGTTACTAAACCCAGTGTAATTACTCTGTTTTCTTTCTAGAAACTCTATCAACTGTGTGATTTAAATACGGTAAACACCAAACACACATATACTTCATTTAACCTACTGTGAATGCATTCTACTTCAACCTTTTTGGTTAGCAAGAAAATATACTGTTTTCTAGGAGGTAAAAAAACCACAACGTATTCATTTTTTAATTTTTAGTTTTTTAAAGCAATGACAAAGCTGGGGCAAATTAAGTATTATCAAAGGTGAATTCATGATAGAGGTTGCAAACTGAGGACACAAGGGCAAAAATCTGACTATTTAACCAAATTGATGTTTAAGATGTTTGAAATAGGGGGTTCATTCTTCATAAGTCTTATTACGGGTGATGTTAACCTTGATCATTTGGTGAAGGCAGTATCTGCCTGTAGTAAAATGTTACTCTTTTTCCCCTTTCCTAATTAGTAAATATTTTGGGGGTGACACGTTAGAGACTATGCAAATCTCCCGTTCTCCACAAATTTTAGTCCACTAATTTTAGCGTCCATCAGTGGTTGTGTTCAATAGTTGTTACTGTGGCATTTGCCTAATGGTAATTTTCTATTTCCTCTCATCCTTTCATTGGAATTTATTTAATTCCATGTATTAACTGGAATTATTCTATAAAGGAGAACTGTCCCTTCACCCCATTTATATATTCAACTATTTATTCATATCAGCACATACTATACTTGGGGGAGGTTTATTTAATTCTATGGGTTATAAGCCAACTTTCATTACATATTTGCTTGCTCAACTTGTCCCAGTTTTGGCCATTTATAACTCTTCAGATTGGTTCACGTGTCCTTTATTTTTTTTCCAAATTAAGAAATATGTTAATTTTTCTTTTTTTTTTTTTGGCTGAGAAAGATTTGCCCTGAGCTAACATCTGTTGCCAAACTTCCTCTCTCTTTTTTTTCTCCGCAAAGCCCCCATACATAGTTGTATATTCTAGTTGTAGGTCCTTCTACTTCTTCTATGTGAGCTGCCATGATAGCACAGCTACTGACAGACGAGCAGTGTGGTTCCATGCCCAGGAACTGAACCTGGGCCACTGAGGCAGAATGCACCGAACTTTAACCACTAGGCCATCAGGGCTGGCTGGTTCATGTGTCCTTTTCACATGCTCCTGTTCTTTTGTGAATGCTACCTTACTTTTTGACAACACAAATCTTCTGCGAAATTCTCATATTTTCCCTGCCCTAGAGTGACGTCAGCATCATGGCGGAATGAACCTGCCCAGGACTCTCTCCCTGCCAACATACAACAAAAAGCAATCGTATTCCAATGGATAATACCCTAACAGCACAAAAATCCTTGGAGAGTCATGGCGGCCACACGTCAGAGGGCAGAGAGGCTGGAGACCCCCTGGGAGGAGCTGGAATGGGGTTAAGAGGGAACTTTGCTCTCTCCCCTAAAGACTGTGGTGGCTGCCCTCAGGAGGCTCCCTGAGGGAAGGAGTAGGGGAGGGGTTGCGCAGCTGCAGGATTTCCCAGGACTCCCTGGCCCACTTGCAGCCTAGAGGGAGGCCCTCTAACAGGGTGAAAGCTTTCACACAGGGTGACCTCATCAAACCAAGACTCCCAGGAGACCAGATAGCCAGATGTGATCGGGAGATCCAGGCCGGCGCACAGGAGAAAGTACCCCTCCCCCGACCCACCTGGTGCCATCTCGGCTGAAGGCGGAGGGGCTCAGAATACACAGCTCTTGACAAACCCCACCCAGTGGCAATAGGCTGTAACTGCAACCGAATAATATCAGAATGGGAAAGTCCCGTCCTTCCAACATCAGGCATTTCATCAAATCTCCAGGCCAGAGAGAAAATGATAAGCACCAAGGACTCAGTCCTGAGGACACAGAAATAAGTAAACTAAATGACAATGAATTCAAAATATCTATCATCAAAAAACTCAATGAGGTAAAAGAGAATATAAAGAAACAATTCAACGAGTTCAGGAGCTACTTCACAAAAGAGATTGAAACTATAAAGAAGAACCTATCAGAAATATTAGAGATGAAAGACACAATGGAAGAGATAAAGCAAAATGCGGATTCCCTGAATGCTCGTGTGGACACTATAGAGGAGAGAATCAGCATAATTGAAGATAGACATGTTGAAATGCTCCAGACAGAGGAGGAGGGACAACTAAGACTAAAAAGAAATGAAGAAAGTCTCCGAGAAATATCCAACTCAACGAGGAAATGCAACGTAAAAATTATAGGTATTCAAGAAGGTGAAGAGAAGGAGAATGGAGCAGAAAGCACGTTCAAAGAAATAAGAGCAGAGAACTTCCCAAATCTAGGGAATGAGAGGGAAATATGCGTGGAGGAAGCTTCTAGGTCTCCTAGATTTGTCAATGTAAAAAGACCTACTGCAAGGCAAATAGTAGTAAAACTGGCAAAAATAAATGACAAAGAAAGAATACTCAGGGCAGCAAGGCACAAGAAAATAAGCTACAAAGGAACCCTTATCAGACTTTCAGCAGATTTCTCTGTAGAAACCTTACAAGCTAGGAGAGAATGGAATGACATATTCAAAACTTTTAAAGATAAAATCTTCAGCCAAGAATACTCTATGCAGCAAAAATATCCTTCAGATATGAGAGAGAAATTAAATCTTCCCCAGACAAACAAAAGCTAAGGGACTTCATAGCCACAAGACTCCCCCTACAAGAAATCCTCAAGAAGGCCCTCACACCTGAAAAAAGAGAAAAAGGGAGAAAGGGGTCGCAAAACACAGAGTAAGGAGACAGAATCAGAATAGGATAGCAAATATTCAACTATAGCATTAGGATAAAGGGAAGGAAAACACCTAAAACAAAGACAATCTTGTCACTTTAACCACAAACTCACAACACAAGTTGGAATAAAATATGAGAACAATAACTTAGGAGGGGAGGAGGAAAGGGACTGAATCAGTTTAGACTACGGAAATAAGAGGCCACCAGAAAATGGGCTATGTTATGCATGAGACTTGAATACAAAGTTCAGGGTAGCCACTAAACTAAAAAGCAGAACAGAGACACAAAAAATAAGGAAAAAACAAAGAAAGACATCATTAAAAAACACATAATTCAATGGGTAGACCAAAACACACAGGATGAGAAAATAAGGAAATACAGGAAAACCAGAAAATGAGTGATATAATGAAAGCCCTCATATATCAATAATTACCCTCAATGTAAATGGATTGTACTGTCCAATAAAAAGACACAAAGTAGCAAGATGGATTAAAGAACAAGATCCAACAATTTGTTGCCTCCAGGAAACACACCTCAGCTCCAATGACAAATACAGGATCAGAGTGAAGGGGTGGAAGACGATGCTCATATTTTTCCCTGCCCTAGCCATGGACTCAATTACTTCTCCAAAGAGCTCTGGTTCCCCTCATTGGAAAATAGTGTTTAGAAATCAAGATCTGGGTACTAGGTGTGCTCTTTGCTACCAGGATGTCATTGATTTTAGGCTCTCTCAGTGGACAGAATCAGGAAGTACACGTATGTATACTAACCCATGCATATACACACATCTGTATCTATGCACAACCTCAATCTAATCACGAGAAGCCGTCAGATCAAATTGAGAAACATTCTATAAAATAACTGACGAGTATAATTAAAAAGCAACAAGTTCATACATGATAAGGACAGAACGAGTGACTGTTTTAGACTGAGGGAGACTAAGGAGACATGACAACTAAATGCAACTTGGGATCTTGAACAGAAAAAGGACATTAATGGGAAGACTGATGAAATCAAATGAGGTCTGTGGTTCAGGTTATAGTAGGAGTTGGCAAACTACAGCCCATGGGCCAAATCTGGTCTGCCACCTCTTTTTGTAAATAAAGTTTTATTGGAACACAGACCCTGTCATTTGTGTACATATTGTCTATGGACTGTTTTTTGCTACAATGGCAGAGTTAAGCAGTAGTGACAGACACCTAAAATAGTTACTGTCTGGCCTTTTACAGAAAAAACTTTCTAACTCTGGATTTATAGTGTTGTTGTACCATTTTTAAATTTATATTTCTGATAATTGTAGTGAAGTTATGTAAAATGTTAACAGGGATGAAGAGTATATGAAAACTCTTTGTACTATTTTTGCAACTTCTCTATAGGTCTAAAATTATTTCAAAATAAAAATTAAAAATATTTAAATTAGGTGCTCACATATAAAATACAGAATATTTCACATAAAATATCTGTATTTGTGGGTTTTTTTTTTAAAGTCAAGATGTTTGATAACACTGCCCAACAATCAAAGTAAAATGAAAGTTGGGACCTGTGGTTAATGTGTCTGATACTGTTGGTTACTGACTCAATACTGACTTTCGTAGCATCAGAACTCTGATTTGTTTGGACATGAGGTATAAGATAAAAGACCATATTTCCTAACCTCTCATAGCCAGTGGTGGTCAATGATGTATGAGCACAAGTGTTTTGGTGAGACTTCAAGGAAAACTCATTAGATAGGTCAGAAGGCTGGCATGAGCCCTATTTGTCCTTCCCCCTTTCTACCTTTTCTTGCCTGGAAAATT